AATCCCTCTCACAAAAACAACAACAACAACACTCTAATGCCAACCGCAATTCCCGAGTCAAAAACACATGCATAAAACGCCGGATGATTTAAACGCGCTGTTCGAAAACCGCATCGGCGATCCGGAGCAGCGGCGACGGCTCGGACGGGTGGGACCGCCGGCCGCCCTGAATGGACGCCTCGCCCGCCGGCCGCAGGTGCAACCCACGGCCGCCGCGCAGCCCGAGTGCCCGCCCGCCCGCCCGCCCGCCCAGCGTCTCGGATCTTATCGAGCACAATTACGCCCGGATAAATCAACGTGCCAATCCACGAATCGACACTAAATAACAATAATCATCCTCGTTACTCGTTTGACTGACAGTGCCTTTCATCGCCGGCTACTAGTCCGTAATGGCCCGACAATGATCTGAATCACGTTCGCGGGTGTGTGTGTGGGGGGGGGGGGGACGGATATTTGTATGAATTATGCATCACCAACTCGGAAGATGGAAGGGCCTTGTAATTTCTTATCGTCATTCATGAAGCACTAAAACAAATAACATATATTCATTAAGATGCATAAATAAATGATTAGAGAACGAAAGAGAAAAACTTGGAATAGATAGCAGTAAAAAAGAGGCACATCAGCATTTCAGTGAATGAATTTACCATCTCATTCACCCCCCCTCTCTCCCTCCTCTCCCCCCCATCTCTCTCTCTCTCTCCTCCCCCCCTCTCTCTTTCTCTCTCTCTCTCTCCCTCTCACTCTCAGGACCGAAGCGAAAGCGTTTTATTTCTCCATAACCCCCCACCCCCCCCATTTTTTCCGCCCGAGACAACCGACCACTTCCCACGTCCTTCCGAGTTACACACGCACAGGGACACGGACCCTTCACGCACGCACGCACATAAACACTTACACCAGGCACGCACACATACAGACGGATAAGGCAGATAGAGGCACCTAAACACACACATACACATACATACATACATACATACATACACACACACACACACACACACAAAATCCATCCACGCACTCAAATCAACCACACATCTACAGTCACCAATACCCTCCCCCCCTCCCCCTCCTTTTACTCTTCACCCCCCCACCCCCTCAAGCAATCGTAAATCCCCACCTAATTTCTTTTATGCAAACTAGGCGCTGCTACAAAATGCTACATGACTTTAGCGCCGGCGAAATCCGTATCGTCCGGATAAAATAGCCGGAAAACGTTACACTCTGCGGTTTAGTGGCATTCGTAACGTTGGATGTTGCCTTATATTTTTATACACTATTATTATTATAATTATCATCAAGATTATTATAATTATCAGCAGCAAAATTATCATCATTATTATCAGCAATATTATCATCATTATTATCAGCAATATTATCATCATTATTATCAGCAATATTATCATCATTATTATCAGCAATATTATCATCATTATTATCAGCAATATTATCATCATTATTATCAGCAATATTATCATCATTATTATCAGCAATATTATCATCATTATTATCAGCAATATTATCATCATTATTATCAGCAATATTATCATCATTATTATCAGCAATATTATCATCATTATTATCAGCAATATTATCATCATTATTATCAGCAATATTATCATCATTATTATCAGCAATATTATCATCATTATTATCAGCAATATTATCATCATTATTATCAGCAATATTATCATCATTATTATCAGCAATATTATCATCATTATTATCAGCAATATTATCATCATTATTATCAGCAATATTATCATCATTATTATCAGCAATATTATCATCATTATTATCAGCAATATTATCATCATTATTATCAGCAATATTATCATCATTATTATCAGCAATATTATCATCATTATTATCAGCAATATTATCATCATTATTATCAGCAATATTATCATCATTATTATCAGCAATATTATCATCATTATTATCAGCAATATTATCATCATTATTATCAGCAATATTATCATCATTATTATCAGCAATATTATCATCATTATTATCAGCAATATTATCATCATTATTATCAGCAATATTATCATCATTATTATCAGCAATATTATCATCATTATTATCAGCAATATTATCATCATTATTATCAGCAATATTATCATCATTATTATCAGCAATATTATCATCATTATTATCAGCAATATTATCATCATTATTATCAGCAATATTATCATCATTATTATCAGCAATATTATCATCATTATTATCAGCAATATTATCATCATTATTATCAGCAATATTATCATCATTATTATCAGCAATATTATCATCATTATTATCAGCAATATTATCATCATTATTATCAGCAATATTATCATCATTATTATCAGCAATATTATCATCATTATTATCAGCAATATTATCATCATTATTATCAGCAATATTATCATCATTATTATCAGCAATATTATCATCATTATTATCAGCAATATTATCATCATTATTATCAGCAATATTATCATCATTATTATCAGCAATATTATCATCATTATTATCAGCAATATTATCATCATTATTATCAGCAATATTATCATCATTATTATCAGCAATATTATTATTTAAATTATCATCAAGATTATTATAATTATCAGCAGCAAAATTATCATCATTATTATCAGCAATATTATCATCATTATTATCAGCAATATTATCATCATTATTATCAGCAATATTATCAGCAAAATTATTGGCATCATTATCATTATCTTCATCCTCATTACCATGATCATTAAGACATTATAATTATCACGCTAAGCCCTTTCCCTATTAATATAATTACTATTACCTTGTTATCATCATCAGTTTTTGCATAATAATAATAATGATAATTATTATCATCATTATCATAAATAGCCTCCTTTAATTATCACATCTTGTACAATAAAGCACTATTGATAAAGAGTAACGAGAATTTAAAAAATGGTAGAGAGGAAGGAAAAAAAAGACAAAGGGGAGGAGGAGGAGGAGGAGAAGGAGAAGAAGGAGAAGAAGGAGAAGAAGGAGAAGGAGGAGGAGGAGGAGGAGAAGGAAGAAGGAGAGGAAGAAGAAAATAACAATAAACACAAGAAAAAAAAAGAAAAAAAAGAAAAACAAAGTAGAAGAAACCAAGATTCACTCCCCCATCTGTGGATACGTTCTTGAGTCAGCATTGAAATCCCCACAAAGAAGCTGCACTTCCCCTCCCTTTGAAACCACATAGATTAGGCGTAAATGTCAGAACAGGAATGGCTGGGAAGATTGGGGGGATAGGAGGGAATCGGAGGAGGCATAGGAGGGGGAGAAGGGGATAGGAGGAAGGATGAAGGAGGGAGGGGGGGAGGGCGAGCATTTTCCCAGCACACCTCACGAGTCTTTCTTTATTCGCGAAAAAAGGAGTGGAGGGAAGAAGGGGGAGAAGAAGGAGAAGAAGGAGAAGAAGGAGAAGAAGGAGAAGAAGGAGAAGAAGGAGAAGAAGGAGAAGAAGGAGAAGAAGGAGAAGAAGGAGAAGAAGGAGAAGAAGGAGAAGAAGGAGAAGAAGGAGAAGAAGGAGAAGAAGGAGAAGAAGGAGAAGAAGGAGAAGAAGGAGAAGAAGGAGAAGAAGGAGAAGAAGGAGAAGAAGGAGAAGAAGGAGAAGAAGGAGAAGAAGGAGAAGAAGGAGAAGAAGGAGAAGAAGGAGAAGAAGGAGAAGAAGGAGAAGAAGGAGAAGAAGGAGAAGAAGAAAATAACAATAAACAAACAAGAAAAAAAACACGAAAAAAACAAGAAAAACAAAGTAGAAGAAACCAAGATTCACTCCCCCATCTGTGGATACGTTCTTGAGTCAGCATTGAAATCCCCACAAAGAAGCTGCACTTCCCCTCCCTTTGAAACCACATAGATTAGGCGTAAATGTCAGAACAGGAATGGCTGGGAAGATTGGGGGGATAGGAGGGAATCGGAGGAGGCATAGGAGGGGGAGAAGGGGATAGGAGGAAGGATGAAGGAGGAAGGGGTGTAGAGAGGGAGGGAGGGGGGACGAGTGGAGGGGAAAGGGAGGGAGACGGACGAAGGGAGGAAGGGAAGATAATCACCCTCTAATTATAATACGTCTTCGCGAAATACTTTTCCGTGCTTGTGGTGGCAAAGGTGACGAGAGACACACCGGTCCTTATGAGGGGGAGGGGGAGGGGGGGGAGGCAGTCACGGCCTTCTCTGCTTCAATAGATGGACCGAAACAACAACAATAACAACTTGACAAACATAACGCGTTCATATCTGCCCCCCCCCCCCCCCAACCCCCTGCCATTCCCGAAGCCAGGCGAATCCAAGCCACTAAGCGGAGAGTGACTAGAGCCCCGGACCACGGGCGCCGAATTCCACCTGTGGAGTTTATCGAATGCTCGCCCGTAATCATCGGCGCGCTGTATCGGGGTCCCGCTCCACAAAAACGGGGTTCCGACGGGTATATCTTGGCCGGAAGTTCATCAGGACAGCGACCGCACGCACCGCCGCCGCCACCGCCGCCGCCGCCGCTATGTACGACTCTTGTAAACAAACAGGTTCTCCGCGTATGTCGTACGTCTTTCTTTTACGACCGTATGCTCTGCTGCAAAACACGACAGTCGTTTTCTCCGTATTTTTCAAAAATGCACCTACTTGTAATAACTCTTCTCTCGTCTTTTCACTGCAACTGGTTCTATTCACCGCACTCAACAGCACCGCCAAGGGTCACAGCGCAACTCTGATCAATCAATGCCACAAAGACGTATTCAAGACACGGCGCATGCGTCTCTTGCCTCCGCATAACGCAGTCGAGACACGAACGCGACACAGCTCCATTCCGTTAAACACGAACCGATCATAACTTTCTCATTAAGTCATTACTATTCATCCCAGACGCATATGTCATCTAAACAGAAACACTCATACAATTAAAACCTGTATCTTTTTCTTCATTTTTTTTCCGAGTACATTCAACAGACTGAACTACATGCGATACGAAGGAAAATGGTACTTACCGTCAGCGACCATACGGGCGAGAATCTTGCTCATATCTCTGACTGAGCGAGTGGCCAGTTCTTCTTCTTCTTCGGATTCCAGGTCGAGGACTGAACGACTGAGTTAAGGAAACTTCTAATATAGATTTTATTGGTTTCATTATTTAACACACAAATATAGCTGGAAGGAAAAATAGTAAAATGAGCATTAAACACTACATTCCATTCCAAGTTTTCAAGGCATACTTTTCATAACATCCTGCCTGGCTCCATGCATACCTCAGGCGACAAGTATAAACAATGCAGCTGCAACTGACTTCTATGCTGTCAAACAGCTTTTATTTTTCCCCTATTTTATTCTCTCTTCTTTGAAATCGCTCTAAAATTCCAATCCATTAAAAAAACGCATATTTGGTCAGCACCCCCCCCCAAAAAAAATGGTAAAAGAAAGAAAGGTAAAAGGAAGAAAGAAAGAAAAAAATATTTGTTATTTCGAGTGAGTGGAATCGAATCCTTGTTCGGGAGAAGAGTCCACATCTATACAAAATGCGTTAATATATTATACTACGTTTCAAAGAGTGCAAGAGCGAGAGAGATGAAAAAAAAAGAAAAACAGTGCCAAGTATCCCTCGAAGCCCTGAGCCATCATCATCAACAGATAATAATCCCCATATGCAAATGAGACAAAGTGATCAGAGCATACCTGGCCGTCGGTCGCCATGACAACGCCACAACAACCCCTCGCCGCCCGCGGTTCACTGGCCTCTCGCTTGCTCACCCGGCCCTAGTAACAGTGACCCTTCGCCTCGCCTCCGACACACAACATTGCATGCGGTCGGGGCCTGTGTCCGCCCAATTAGAAGTGCAGCGAATATGGCTTGCAGTGACAGCTTACAACGAAAACCAATGACTCGCAAAAACAAACATTAAAGAAAAAATGATCGAAAGATAACCATCGTTAATTGGAAACGAACTACGGGAGGGAGGGTTTCAGCTACTGCTATGTTGCGTGGGTGCAGCAACCCGCAGGAGTGGAAGAGAAGAGCCAGTTTTTTGGGTCGGCAGAAAAGCCAGTTTGGCTGTATTAATCCAGCGATCCTGGTCGAAGAATGCTAGCATATAGACGAGAAGGCGTATCCTTCTGTGTTCTTTTTCATTGCATTCTTTCACGTAGGAAATACGAAGACGATAATACTAAAATAGAGATTAGATCGAATAAACTATAAAAAAGGAAAAAACAAGCGAAAAAAAATCACATGAACAGCAGTCTTTCGTGCGATTTCATAACACGGGTCTCCCTGAAACAACAAATATCAATATTACAATTAAAGCAGAGGAGAGTACAAACAGCATGCGATAAATAAAGGAGCAGAGAAGTGAAGAAAAAAGCACGGGAGAGAGACCCGTGGACCCAAAGCACGCTTGGGGACGCAAAAGCCCATACAGTGGAGCTTGACCCAGCCTTGCGTTTTCATCTCAAGGGAACCTGTTTCTACGATCCAGAGGAGGAGGAAGCGGCATCATTTCCCGCAAGTGCGGTATTCAAATTTCCGAGAGCTTTTTTCGGCCCAAGACGAGGGCCTCTTCACGCCCATGACACGAGGCAGGGCTGCCGGGCGCGGGGCGAAGCCGAGCCGCGCGCAGGACGAGGGAGGCCGAGGGAGAAGTGACCATACAGGTTCTGGGCTGCGGCTCCAGGCACGCCAGCGCCTTCCTAGCTGGCGTCCAGATAGCCCTGCAAGTGCCGGTTGCTAATGACGCCGTGGTACATTTACTCGCTTCGCATCTCTATAATGGACGCAAAGAGGCCATTACACTAGCGACGCCTGGCCGGCTGAGGCGCTTTCAGGTTTGTCGGCTGAGGAGCGACGCTCATGAAGAGTAACCTGGACCAGGCCTCACCTGCTCGCTTGCCGCGATCATCTCGACCGATTCAAGCACCTGCATGCTCTGCCGCCGCCGCCGCCGCCACCGCACCCTACCCGCGAGCGCTGACCTGACCGCCCTTCCGCATGCGGTAATTACTCGACAACAGCCGTGAACATTCAGAACGTAATATAGCTTCCTGCACCCTTAGCATCGCTGCCGCCTCGGGGCTCCGCCTCCTAATCGGTAAACAAAACCCGTATGTCAACAAGTTGTCGTGGATCCGACCAGATCAGCTGAGTCTGGAATCCCTCCCATCCAGTCCCGGCCATTTGGATACACCGTGAAAACGCAGCATGCAATTAGTTTCTCGCCCCCTGCAATTCCATATTATATAACGTATATTAACCTCTCAACCCTAAATCACCCGAAGAGCAAGAGCAACAGGTGGTCCCTAGAGATGGTGGTTGGCGCTGGGCTGCGCCTGTACTATGAACTACCTCAGCTCGGGCTGGAGGTCGCTGCTCCCAGCGCAGTCACGACTTTTTGCCGCCTCGACTCGCCGCAACAGAAGCCGCTCCTCCTGCTTCAGCCCCGAGGCCCTTGGAGCGGGATGCTACAGCATGCAGCAGCGCCGATCAGGAAGCCTCGTTTCAGACGGCTGTCATCGCATGATAGGATCTCAGAGGAGGAGCCAGCATAAGGCGCACAGAATCAATAAAGACGCATCGTGGCTCTGCGTGTGTACATATATGGGGGACGTGTGTTGACATGCTCGTGCGGCCGCAGCATCGAGAGCATCAGGGCAGCCTCGGCAGAAAGATGCCGGAAAAAGTGGATCTGCGCGAGAGTTCATTGCCTCGGCCGCTGCAAGAAAGGTCTGCAATACAGCGCAGGCAATATCGCATGTTCAGGCGACGTGGGTGTCGTGCGGAGCGAGGGTTCCGGGCCGCGTGCCATGCCTGCTGACGACAGTTCAAAGCGGCTGCGCCACGGAGCGAGGAGTTACTGTTCGAAAGCGTACAGATCCGCTTTATGAGCCGTGCGGTGCGCGCCTCGACGTGCAAGCGCATGACTTAGCGAGCGGGTGTGTCGGTTTGTCTGTACCCAGGGATAAGAATGCGGTCCACGAGGAAAAAGACAACCGCAGAGCCCAGCACCGGCGGAGAAAAACACGCAGTACGCGCATTAGCGACGGCGTTCGCTTCCTCCCTTCCTTCCGCGTGCAACCCACAGTGTGCCATTAGGTCGTCTTTTTTCCCGGGCTCTCCACCGCGAGTCGTCGCCCTCATCTCCTTGTCGCCGCGCTTGCTTGCAGCTACGACGCCTCTCCTCCTCGGCGGCGGCCCTCGGTCAGGTCGCGGGCGTAATTCATACATCCAATCCTACCCTTATAAAGCGGCCTGCATGACGAATCGCTAATGAGTATCCTGCGAAGCCCCAAGAACCCAACGACCTCGGGTTCAGCGCGTGGTCTTCACCGCACAAATGAAACAAAACTTTCCACACGCGAAACGACCCCGACGCTTTACGTCCACGTGCTCGGCGTCCCGACGACGAAGCAACGACGCCGTGACGAAGGGGGATCGGCCGAGGCAACACGACGCCACAGCTACCCTCTGGCGCTCCGTGACCGGGCCCTTCGCGGCCGCTTTACGGTCGGGCATGTGCCAACCTTGCGACCCACGAAACACCGCATAAAGCCAGAGGGAAGCGTGCCGTCTGACCTCATGATTTGACTCGCAGAAAAGTATAGGGTGTTCTGCCGCCTCATAAAGCCATGTTGTGTGTGTGGGGCAGGCTGATATGTGGCTTACATAATTCGACATGATACTGGTGCACTATGACCTGATATATGTCGGGCAACCCTGCCTTGCAACTTTCAAAACGACATGCTGCCTTAACCCGTCTTCTCAGCTCTCTCTCATTTCCTCTCTCGGGCATAAATACACATTTTATATTTATACCTGTATACCTACCCCTCATTTTTTTCTACTTATCTATCTTTATATATCTATTTGACTATATATATGTGCTAATACAATTTTCCTAAGAAGATATTCCCAATACACATTCTAGGATATCTTAGGCAGAAACCAAACCGAAAACAACTCGTAAATGGGGAACAGTAAAGGTCGATAGGTTAGTGAGAGGAGAGGCTAGGGTGAAAAAAATCTGACAGGGAAGAGGAAGGGGGGAGAGGAAGGGGAGAGGGGAGAGAGAGGGAGAGAGAGAGGGGAGAGAGGGGAGAGGAGAGAGGGGAGAGAGGGGAGAGAGAGAGGGGGAGAAGGGAGAGGGGGAGAGAGAGAGAGGGGAGAAGGGGGGGGGGGCGAGAAGAAGGTTGAGCAGCGTGAAATCGGGCCAAGCGTGAGATAACTGGGCCAACATAAACACGATAGCCACGACGTCGACCTCTCTCTCTCTCTCTCTCTCTCTCTCTCTCTCGTGTCTCCCCCCCCTCCATCTCTTCTCTCTCTCTCTCTTTCTCCATCTCTGCTTCCATCTCCGTCTCTGTCTTTGCCTCTCCCCTCCCCTTCTCTCTCCCACTATCCCATTCTGTCTCTCTATCATCTCTCTAACATCCTTCTCTTTCATTACTCTCCTTTTACCTCTCTATCCCTCTCCCTCTCTCTCTCTCTCTCTCTCTCCTCTCTTTCCCTCCATCTCCCCTATCCTCTCTCTTGCTATACAATTAAACAAATTCACAAGTGATATCCACAATAAACGGCGTCAAATCACGTGCCCCACAAGGCAGGTGGTGGGGTATGGGAGGGGGGGGGAGGCGGAGGAGGATGGGGGGAGGGAGAAGGGGGGGGAGAAGGATGGGGGGAGGGAGAAAGGGGGGGGAGAAGGATGGGGGGAGGAGAAAGGGGGGGCGGAAGAAGTAAGAGGAGCGAAAACAGGCAAGAAATAACAGCAGTTTGGCCACGGCGGGCGACTACCACGATTTTTTTTTTCATAAGTTGGGGAGGCTGGGGTGGAGGAGGAGGAGGAGGAGGAGGAGGAGGAAGAAGAAGAAAAGGAAAAAAAGAGGATGGAGGAGACGGTGGATATATCAGAGATAGACAGAAACAGACTCAAACAAACTCAAACAAACACAACCTTAAACACTCTCTCTCTCCACCTAACACTTCCTCTTCCCTTCCCTTCCCTCTCCTTCCCTTCCCCTCCTCACCTCCCTCCCCACCCCTGTCCAGGCAAGAGGGTCATTCACTGAAGCTCCCGCCGCCTTCCTCTTGCTGAAT